GGGCCAATACAAAAATAAGCCGACAAACGTCAGGGAAAATAAGGAGACCAGCTACGTCACTGGATAAGTTTTTATTTTTCTCTGAGTTTGCGTCACATCTAGCTGGAGCTACTGATATACAAGAGAGCTCTTGTTTTACTCTGAAAAAAGTTCCCACGTGTCTTTGTTGATCATCTTAATATATTATACTTACCAAGTTTTAAAAGTCTTGATTTAAATTAAAAAATTTCATTATAAAAAAATTTTTTGATGAATTTTTTGGATCTTCAATAATTAATCTTGAATTTTTATTTTGAACTTTTTATATGATACTGAAGTTGGCTGTCAAAAAAATGCTTTTAAAAATTTTTTATTAATTTTTACACGTAGAATTTTTTAATTAAATTTCTTTTTATAATTATTGAATTGCTATAAAATTATTAGAATTGCAATAAAATAAAGTTAGCCGATATTTAAAAATTTTTAGAATTTTTTTTATTAAAAAAATTAAAAAATAAAATTTAATTTGTTAAAAATTTAAGTGCAATTTTTAAAAAATCTTTTTTAGTTGTAATTTAATATAAATTAAGCAAAAATTTTGGCTAACTTAATTATTATGACGTTGACGAACTTAAAAAATTATATTAAAGTTAGGCAGAAAAATTTTATTTAACAAAAAAATTATTTTAAAAAAATTGCATTTTTAATTTATTAAAATTTCTAAAAGTTCATTTTTTTTCTATTTTTTTTATGCAGTAATTTATTAATATTATTAAATATCTGGTAAATTAATTTTCATACTTAAAAAAATTTTTTAATAATTTTATAGCAATTAAATTATTATGAAAAAAATAAATAAAAATCCCTAGCTTGCAGGGTAGGTCTTTACTTTGTATTATTGTAGACAATAATATACATAATATAATAGTTACAGATGAAAAAATCGTGGACCGGAGCGTGTAGCTGAGCAAGCTGGTACAAGTTTGTTGGAGCAAGAGACAGAGAATAGAAGAAAGGGAAAAATAATGGTAAGTGAGATGAAAACCAAGAAGCAGCTGTGCCTGGTATGGATCTGATGGAGAAAGAGAGAAAGATCTCGGATTGGGGAAGAGCGAGTGGGGACCAAAGAGACAACAGATGATGGTTTAGGCAGTCGCCAGTAACAGTTGTACGATGCTGATGCTCGGCTGAGCTGAACTAAAACTAAACGCGGTTAAATATTTTTTTTATTTAAACCGGCTAGAAAAAATAAATAGTAATTGTATTAACCAGTAAGTAAAGTAGTACGCATAGGTATATAATACGGTACAAGCATGTCTTCCCGATAGTAATAGTACTAATAGAAATAATTCCGGTAATCCGGTGGAGAATAATAGCCGAGCAGGTAATTCCAAGGCTCGGTTTAGTTATTTTCTGTTATGTCGTTGAGTTTGGCATTAAAAGTCACGTAGATAAAAGTTACAAGTATAGAAGTAACGAGCAAGCGAAAGGATAAGGTGGAGGACAAGTGGTGGAGTTCCTGGCAGAGAGGGGCATTAAGTTAATGCAAATTGAGGATTGAGGGCACGGAAAAAACTTTCTCCGTTAGAACCACCAGCACGAGCTTGAATTATTCCACGTCTCAACTGGGCAAAGGCAGACGATCGATTTTATTTATGCCTTTTTTTCCTAAAGACTAATGTAATATAATGGCTGATAAGTGACACGGTAAAGTCCCCAGGCTACCAACCTAAACGGCAATTCTTCATTATATTTTATTTTATATCACTTACTCATTTTTTATTATTAATACATCCAGACTGTCCAATACTACAGCAGGTTGCTCATACCTTTACTTGCTGCGGAGGTGGATTGGATGAATCGTTACTGCATCTATAACCCGTTGTTCTCACGATCGAGCTGGTCAGTCGTTAACTGTCGCTAGATCATACTTCGGCTGCTCGATTTTCTGAAAATTAATACAAGTGACTATTATTATTTTTGTGAATATTGTTCAGTGGATTATTTGGCACCATGATCACTGGATTATTTTTTATGGTACAGTTTTTTAGTTAAAACTTTGGAAATATTTATGTTTTTGGGAAAAATTCTTTGGAATTTAAATTGTTGACTAAGTATTGGAGATATCAACAAATCACAGACCTTTTTTGGAGGAATTTTAATAGAAAAGGTCCTTATTAATTTTAATATCTCTAGTATTTTTTGAAGTAGATTTTAAAGTAATAAGAAAATTTTTTTAATTCATATTGATGAAAATTTTCTAAAGTTTAAAATTAAATTTTGGAGTTAATAAATAAAATAAAAGATACGAAAAAAGGACGAGAGATTTTTTTTTAAGAAAATTTAATAAGTTATAAAAAGGTCTTTACACTGAAAAAAAAAAATTAATGATTCAAGAGAAAAATTCTTGAACCAAGAATATCAAGTTGATCAACTTCAAAATTATATACTTGATTCAAGAACATTTTTTTTTCTGTGTACTGATTTTATCATACCTCTAGTCTTTTTTAAAAATTAGAGTTAAAAATTTTAAGAAAATTCTTTTTTAAATAAATATTGATATAAAAAAATTTTCTAAAGTTTAAAATTAAATTTCTAGAATAAGGATTAAGGATACAAAAAAAAATAAGAATCCTTATTTAAAGGAAATTTAATAAGCTATAGTAACTAATTTTATTATATCTTTAGTCTTTTTCGATAAAATTAGAGTTAAAAGTTATAAAAAAATTCTCTTTGAAATAAATATTGAGATAAAAGAATTTTCTAAAGTTTAAAATTAAATTTCAAGCTCAAAATTAAATTTAATAAGCTCTTAAAAAAGTTCTTACTGATTTAATCATATCTCTAATCTTTTTCAATAGAATTAGAGTTAAAAGTTGAAAAAAAAATTTTTTGTTATGTAAAGAAATTTTTCTTTACATATTTATTAACTATAAAAATCGAGTATAATTTTATTTCGTTTTTAACGATTGTAAAAGATAATTCGAGTGCGGTCATTAAGTGTCTCGTTCGATTTTTGCAAAAGGCCCAGGGAAATTTCGGTAATTAGTCTGGAGCCCAGGTATATTAAAGAGATTAAATAGATGAATGGGAGTTTTGTTATTCGTAAGCAAACTCACTTATACTTAAAATAAGAAATACTTAAAGATAAAGAACATTAGATAAAAAGATTTATTTTAAACCAAAAGATTTTAGAATAATTTAATGACAAAAATTTAGTGTTGAGAAAAATATCGAAATAAATTTTAATATTGCAATTTCCGAAATAATTTTTAGACAACAAAAGTTAAATATGAAATGAGAAACAAATAAAAAAAATAGAACTTGAAAGTTAAATAATTTAAAATAAACAAATTTTAAACAATTGAATTCTAAAATAATACAAAAAATTTATAAAACAATAAAACAGAAATATTTCTACAAATAAATAATTAAATTCAAGGAAACGTAAGAAATGTTAGATTCGAGTACATATTTATTCATATGATTTTAATAAATAAATTAATGTAGACAGTACAAATGTATGTCTTTGTCTATGCGTAAATGCGCTTACGTATACACAAACAGATAGATGAATAATAGAACATAAGAGTAAGTGAAAAAGTATGTTGCACTCAGACCCAAGTAGAGGGACTCATGCAACATTTTTAGACAAATTTAAGAGAGAGGGTAAGGGCCCGAGAAAATAGACAAATAATTGGAAATTTGTTTCCCCCAATGAGTGGAAATTAGTAAAGCCCTAAAATTCGAGACCTTGCAATTGTCACCAAAAAATCTCTCTCGTTGTCCTGACGTCCTAGTGTTAACATCGTACATAGTTTAAATAAGTCTCAATAGACCACGTGTAAATCTATTGTATTAAAAGTAAAACATTTGTAAAGGTAAAGTAAAATCGTAAAGTGCATCAATTTTTTATCAGGTATATTTTAAATTATTAATATTTGTGAATTTGGTAATATTGTAAAATCGTTATATGAAAGAAAAGTTAACTTCAATCACTGTGTAATAATTGTAACTATTGTAAATTAACTAATGATATTAATTTTGGATCTAAACAATATATGTATTAAAATTACTCAAATACATCAATTTATTCAAACAAACCTATCTTTCTCAATAAATTAAAACTCGGAAGTTCCCGGTCTATTAGCCTAACACGCTAGGACCGAATACTTAAACACATTAAATATTTTAAATGTAAAATTAATTAATTACCCTAAATTAATATTTTTTACATAACATTTTTTTGAAATAAATATTGAGATAAAAGAATTTTCTAAAGTTTAAAATTAAATTTTTAAGTTAATAGTGAAAGATAAAAAAAAATGACAAGAGACCTTTTTTAAATAAAATTAAATTCTCTATAAAAAAGTTCCTTATCAATTTTCCTCTTTGCCTAAAAATAAGACCAATACCCTCCAGATATTTTGGAATAAAAATTCGGGAAATCATTTTGACACCTAAATTTTGTTACAGAGGGAACTAAATCTACGGACACACCGACGAATAAAGAGCCTGTAGCTGTGTGACGAGTGACTACACGGAAGTCGGTCATTTCGAGAGTCGCAATCAGAATTGAGGGTGAAGAGAGTTGTTAGACTACGGCAGTGCGTTGAGTTCGCTTTTAAACACAAATATAATTTAGTATCGCACGTACTTTGGATATGTTTGATTTTAATCTACGTCTAACTCCTGAAAGTGTGCCCAATATAAATATAAATAAAGTATAAATCACATCGGGTTTACTTTTGAGCACGTGTGCATTTACAGTACATTGTATTGCGCGTTAAAGAGAGTACTACGCTTTTATCGGCACTGCTCGATAGATAATTCAACAAAAGTGTACTGAGTTATAATTAAATTATACAAATAGAAGATATAAAACAATATCTTTATCTTTATCTTGGTGCGTTAAACTTAGCCACGTGCTAGCCGCACCACAGATTTGTTTGTTATCTTTTTTATTGCTTTTAATTCCTCGATAAATCATCAGTGCATCAGTGCAGTGACACGTGTTCGTCATGTCAGGTGAAGGAACTTCCGACGAAGAAGGCTCCCAGGAGGATTCCGCGAGGTACGACATCGACGACATGGAAATTATCAAGACTATTGGTAAGCTTTACTTGTCTTCTTGATGATGATGATGATGATTTTTTTTAGCTGTCTGTTTATATGTTTGATTTTTATTGTTAAATATTGAGCAGTAATTCGAGAGCCAGCGATCGAGTTACTCCGGCGAGGAAGAAAGTTGAGTAGCACAGCGAGAGGATTGTAGATTGTATATAGGAACGTTGTCGAGCAAGTGGGCCACCACTGGAGAGTGAGAGGCTGAAGTATATTTAACTTTACACCTCACTTGCACTCCCTACCACTAGCTCACGGCTAGTTGAATTGTCACCGATTTCTTAACTTGAGCTACCGATATTTCATAATTTTTTTATTTTTATTAATTATTCGTATGTATTTTTAGAGGATTGTTTATTTTTAATTTATTAATTTATAAATAAATAGGAAGGAAGATTATAGATCATAGATCATTGCCACTAACAATTATTAAGGGAAATTTTTTGACTTTTGGAAAATATAACAAGGTTTAAAAAATTATTTTAAAAAAATTGCATTTTTTTTTAAGTTTTTAAAAATGAAATTTTTAAAATAATTTTTTTTTGTTGTAATTTATTTGTTAAAAAAATTTCTAAAAATTATTAGATGTCTCTCAATTAAAGTATCATTTTTTAATGACATTTAAATTAGTATACGACAATTTTTTGACTTTAAAAAAAAAACTAGGTCTAGAAAATTATTTTTAAAAAATTGCATTTAGTTTTTAAAAATGAAGTTTTTTAAATAATTTTTTTTTTGTTATTTATCAATTAAAAAATTTCTAAAAATTATTAGATGTCTTTTAAATTCAGTGTCATTTTTTAATGACATTGAAATTAGCATACTTGACAATTTTTTGACTTTTAAAAAAAAACTAGGTCTAGAAAATTATTTTAAAAAAATTGCATTTATTTTTTAAAGATGAAATTTTTTAAATAATTTTTTTTTGTTGTAATTTATCAGTTAAAAAAATTATTAAATGTCTTTCAATTAAAATATCACACTTTTTAATACATTGAAATTAGCATACTTGACAATTTTTTAATTTTGTAAAAATAAACTACGTCTAGAAAGTTATTTTTTAAAGTTTTTAAAAATTAAATTTTTTGATTAAATTATTTTTGTTATAATTTATAAGTTAAAAAATTATTAGATCTCTTTCAATTAGAGTATAATTTTTTAATGACATTAAAATTAGCATACTTGACAATTTTTTGACTTCTGAAAATTAAACTAGGTTTAAAAAATTATTTTTTAAAAATTGCATTCATTTTTTAGAGCTTTTAAAAATTAAATTTTTCTTGCTATAATTTATTTGTTAAAAAAATTATAAAAATTATCACGTCTCTCAATTTCAATGTCCTTTTTTAATGACATTGAAATTACCAGACACTTAAAAATTTTTTGACTTTTTTTTTTCATAATAAATTAAGCCTAGAAAATTATTTTAAAAAATTGCATTTATTTTTTAGAGCTTTTAAAAATTGAATTTATTAAATAAATTTTTTTTTTATAATTTATTTGTTAGAAAACTTATAAAAATTATGACATGTCTCTAAATGTTTTTAAATTTTTTAAAGATAGATTTAATTGATGCTTGGAAAAATTTTAATTTTTAAAATAAAGAAAATAATCTGGTGATTAAAATAAAAATTATAAAAAATGATAATTTAATTAAAAGATAATTGAGAATATACCGAGCAAGCTAATAAATGTAATAAAGTAATGGGATTTATACTGAAAGCCATTAACTGAAAGTACCTGTAGTAAAATTGTGCGGTTAAGGAAAATAGTTAAAATATACAAACACTATAAAAATGTTTATGCCATTAAATAAAATCTGGCATCTTTCTGTCACATTAAACAGCTGGGCTGATGATCTACCGTTTTAAAACGATTTTTGTTTGCTTTTTTAGCTGTATAATAGATTTTTTGTTTATTAAATAGCCAGCTAATGCGATAAATTAGTCATGAGCAATCAACTAAACGGGAGAGTTGAGTAGAACAGCGAACTCTTGATGGCAGACCGGAAGTTCGTTTTCAGTTTTCAGTGACACCTGTCCCTGTCGTTAACGAGCGACTGGGATTGTGGATGCTAGCTGTCATAACCGAGACTACTAAACTTGCCAATTTGACTAGTATAATGCGATATTTATTACAACAGTGTCTAGGTCTTGAGACATTGGTGGTTAGCTGGAGGACATAATTCTGTTTTAAATAAATATTTAATGCTTGAGTGATGATTTAGAACGTACGGCCATTATTTACAACAGATGCTTTTGTTTACAGGAACTGGCACGTTTGGACGCGTGGTTTTATGCAGACATCAAGGAATACCCTTGGCGCTTAAAGTCCTCTCTATGGTTGACGTCATTAGACTTAAACAGGTGGAACATGTTAGAAATGAAATATCTGTCCTCAAGGAGGTCAAACATCCCTTCATTGTTAATATGTATGTTTTTTTATTTTTGTTATTTATGAGCCTTAAATCAACAGACAGCTGGTAATTTTTGAGATTTTTTTTTCAATAAATTATTGTAGAAAAATTAAAAAAACAAATATTTAGGCTGCATTCGAATATGCTCTACCTCTAGAAACATAATTAAGACATTACCTTGTATCTTGTGAACTATTGACATTTTTAAAGATATAAGCTCATCCCGATGTTACACTCATCGAGACCTTTCATTTGAGTACTCACTTGCATTTTTGATATATTTTTCATATATACATATATATATATATATATAATATATGAAAAATTGATGTGGGTACTCAAATGAAAGCTCTTGATAAGTGTAACATCAGGATGAGCTTATATCATTAAAAATGTCAATAATTAAGAACTGACTGCATCTTGTAAACTAATGACATTTTTAAAGATTCAAGCTCATTCTGATGTTACATTTAACAAGACCATTCATTTGAGTATCCACATCAATTTTTCATATATTTATATATATTATATATATGTATATATGAAAAATATATGAAAATGCATGTGGGTACTCTAATGAAAGCTCTTGATCAGTATGACATCAAGATGAGCTTATATCTTTGAAAATGTCAATAATTAAGAAATGACCTTGTATCTTGTAAACTACTGACATTTTTAAAGATATAAGCTCATTCTGATGTTACATTTAACAAGACCTTTCATTTGAGTACCCACATAAATTTTTCATATATTTATATATATCATTTATGTATATATGAAAAATATATAAAAAATGCATGTGGGTACTCAAATGAAAGCTCTTGATGAGTGTAATGTAAAGATGAGCTTATATCTTTAAAAACGTCAATACTTAAGAAAGTACAGTGCAATTTAACAAAATTCATTATTTAATAAAGCAAAATTTGATTTATTTATAGTTCATAAATTTCTACAAATAAAATTTTAAAAAAAATTTATTTGTAGAAATTTTAAGAAAGAATTAATTAAATATTTGCTTGACATTAATTTATTTAAAAATTATCAAATGTCTGCAGATTTATCTCAAAATAATTTTTTTCTAAATTAAAACAAAGAAATTGTCTTTTTCTAACTAAAAAATAAACCCCCAGGTTATGGAGCGGCCGTGACGAAGCGCGAGTTTACATGCTCCTGGAGTTCGTAGCGGGTGGCGAGCTCTTTTCTTACCTGCGTGCAGCGGGAAGATTCTCTGGACCCACCAGTTGCTTCTACGCGGCAGAAATAGTCTGCGCGTTGGACTACCTCCACTTGAAGCACATAGTCTACCGTGACTTGAAGCCCGAGAACCTTCTGTTGGACAGCCAGGGCCACCTAAAAATCACAGACTTTGGGTTCTCAAAGAAACTCACTGACAGGTATTAATAATAATGTACTCACAGTACAATATACCCACTTTATTAAATGTTTATAATCGACGTAGCCAAAACAACGACCATTGATACGGCAATTAATTGGCGTAAAAAATTTCGGATGCAATTCTGGCAGATGTGCTCGATAAACAACTGCTTGGCCTTTATTGCATTTTATTTTCGGCTGGTGCAGGGAAGTCAAGTGACGAGACAGCGGGTCGTTTTAACAAGTTCCTGGAAAAAAATAAATTTACATTTTTAGAATGTTATTTATAAATTTACAAAGAAAACTGAGTCGTTTATTTACATCATCGCTCTGTTATAAATATTTTTTCATTTAACATAATCATTGTCATTTTTAAATAACTATTTTAAGTTTTTATTTATCATCTTAAAGTCAACAGACATTTGGTCATTTAAAAAAATTTTTTTTACAAATAACAAATAGAATTCTCACGATAATCAATTTATTATTATAAGTATTTAGGCTGCATTCGAAAATGCTCTATCTCTAGATACATAATTAAGAAATTACCTTTTATTTTGTGAAATATTGACATTTTTAAAGATATAAGCTCATCCCGATGTTACACTCATCAAGACCTTTCATTTGAGTATCCACATCAATTTTTCATATATTTATATATATCATATATATGTATATATGAAAAATATATGAAAATGCATGTGGGTACTCAAATAAAAGTTCTTTATGAGTTTAACATCGGGATGAGCTTATATCTTCAAAATATATATTATATATATAAATATAAAAAAAATATATCAAAATGCATGTATAAAAATCAATAATTGAGAAATTACCTTGTATCTTGTGAACTATTGACATTTTTAAAAATATAAGCTCATCCCGATGCTACACTCATCAAGAGCTTTCATTTGAGTACCCACATGCATTTTCATATATTTTTCATTTATACATATATATAAAATATATAAATATATGAAAAATTGATGTGGATACTCAAATGAAAGCTCTTGATGAGTATAACATCAGGATGAGCTTATATCATTAAAAACGTCAATATTTACGAAAGTACAGTGCAATTTAATAAAAGTCATTATTTAATAAAGCAAAATTTTATTTATTCATATTTAACGAGTCACAGCAGTCACATAGTGCTAGTTATTATTAAAAAAAATATATTGCCAAAAAGAATATTTAATATGTAGGAATTTTATACATAAATAATCTAATGGAATTTTTTTTCTAGAACATGGACCTTGTGTGGAACTCCAGAGTACCTAGCACCCGAAATAATTCAGAGCAAAGGCCACAATAAAGCGGTAGACTGGTGGGCATTGGGAGTCCTAATCTACGAAATGTTGGCGGGATACCCTCCGTTTTTCGACGACAACCCCTTCGGAATCTACGAGAAGATCCTCAGCGGCAGAATAGAGTGGCCCAAGCACGTAGACCCGATCGCGAAGGACCTGATCAAGAAGCTGCTGATTGCCGACCGAACAAAGAGGCTGGGAAACATGCGTCAGGGAGCCGAGGACGTTAAGAGGCACCGGTGGTTCAAGCTCATCGACTGGCAGCTCGTAAGGACTATAATAATAAATATATTTGCGGCTGATTGTGCCCGAGGGCGAGGTCTTCCCTCTACTCACTGAATTATTTATCATTCCAGGTACCCCAGAGAGCCCTCACACCGCCAATAAGACCGAGAGTAAAGGCTCCAGAGGACGCAAGCTGCTTCGACGACTACCCGGAAACCGACTGGAGGTCCCAGCCTCCTTTGCCGCCTGACCAGTTGGCTCTTTTTCAAGACTTCTGACCACTCGCTTATGATATTATCTTTCTTCGATTAGAATACTCGATTGACCATCTGCTTGCTCTCTACGGCGCAAGTTGTCATTTTCATTAATGTTACAATAGCTTCGAGTGATTTTTATTACTTTCGTTTCTTTTTTTAAGTATTTTTTTTTGTAAATAGATCTGTTGCGTGGTGTTGAGAGATTATAACGATTGTTAAGTAGCCCTGGTTCTCCAGGCAACCTTCAGCCTTTGTAAATACAAACAAATAAATCGTGCCGTTAATATATTTAAGTGTTGATTATTTTTTTTATTAATTGACTTTTAGAATAATTTAAAAAATTATTTTAGATATATTAATCAAAAACTAGTCTTGTGAACTATAAATAAATAATATTGTTTGATTAAGTAATGACTTTGGTTTAATTGCACTGTACTTTTTTAAATATTGACATTTTTTAAGATATAAGCTCATCACGATGTTATACTCATCAAGACCTTTCATATGAGTACCCACATGCATTTTTGATAAATTTTTCATATTTACATATATGTAATATACATAAATATATGAAAAATTTATGTGGGTACTCAAATGAAAGGTCTCGATGAGTGTAACATCGGGATGAGCTTATATCTTTAAAAATGTCAACAGTTCACGAGATACAAGGTCATTTCTTAATTATGTATCTAGAGATAGACCATTTTCGAATCCAGCCTAAATATTTATCATAATAAATTAACTATCGATGATATATATTAATTTTAATCTAAAAAAAATAATATTTAATTATTAATATATTAATATTCATCAAGAATAAAATAATTTAAAACACAATTTTTCTTTTAAATATCTGACAATTTTTTTTAAACAAATTTATTGTAAAAAAAATTATATTCAAAAATTTGCTCTTGTAATTTTGTTATAATAATTTAGTTATAAAAATTAAAAAAATGATAGATGATAAATTAAATATCAAAATAAATGTAAATTTTCTATAATATAAAAAACAATATTCTTCAATAAATAATTCCGATCAAAAAATTAATTCGCAATTAAAATAAAAATAAAAAAAATTTAATAGTTTAAAGAATTAAAAAGCATTAGTGTTTAAATAAACCCAAAAGCTTAAATAAAATCCACAATAAAACACTTGATTCAATCTCCGTAAGCGTTCTACCGAAAACAGCAGCAGGTAATTCACCCAACTATTTAAAAAACTCTCAATCTTTTAAATAGAATCATCGTGAAGTTAATCTAAAAAGTTTTTTAATTAAAAAATTGTTCAACTCGAGTTATCAGATGCGGAAAGCAAATAAGACGTCCAGGTATCCAACAAGAGATGGCGACGCCGTCCTGACTCGCTGCTCACTTACACAAAGAACCAACCCCAAGAATAAAAGTCGAAAGAAATCGATTATTGACTGAAGATATTCTCTAAATAAACAACGATTTGGAAATGCTATTATTTCATTCCGGGTCTTAATCAGCGTTACTTAATAATCGTTATCTTCTCTACCAAGGCCGTAAGATAACCCTGTTTGACCTTCCGGCTGTCCTCGGATCGCTTTATTAAATAACAATCTATAAAATTTCCCAGCTTCTCATTTTAATAACCAGAAAAACAAAGAGCGAGGTCGTTAAAGATTCTATAAAAGCTCGGAAATGATCACCGTGGCCTATTTGCCCGGCGTTTTCCGAGTAAGTATCTTAACAAACTATAAAACAACACCCATTAATTTTTAACTTCCATTCCAGCCATAAAAAATGGCTTCATATCCATCAATAATTAAGAAATTACCTTTTATCTTGTTTAATATTGACATTTTTAAAGATATAAGCTCATTCCGATGTTCCACTTATCAAGAACTTTCATTTGAGTACCCACGTCAATTTTTCATATATTTATATATATATATATATATA